TGTTTTTTTATATCACTTAAATGATAATTTTTTCTAAAAAACACTTAACAATAACCATATATTAATGTATGTATTATGTAGATGCTTAAAATGCACTCCAACTTGATTCAAGGGACCGCAAGATTTATGAATATTTGTCCTCCATGTTATGTCATTTTATTTGATATTTGTTTCCACAAAAGAGAATATGGCTTCTCTGATTTCTTCACTTTTTATTTTTAACTTTTACAAACTTTTGAACTGAGCATCTTTCGTGAACCTAATCCTTATCCTTAACAACCAGATGTTAGCTAGCTCTTTATTCAATTAGGAACCAAAGAAAATATATTTTTCTATTTCATTTTTTGAGAACCGAGAGAAATACCAAGATCCTAGGCACGATTATAGTATCTAAATTGTTTTTTGTATCTACATATTTAAGCACCGGAAAATGATTAACCACACTATTTTTTATCAATAAATTCTTAATTTTCAAAAATAATATAATTAAGATATCATATGATATTATAAATTTATAATATAATGTATTTAGTTTTCTTATTTAAGGATTTATTCGTAATAATATGTGTATCAACTTATTTAATATCACATCATACTCATTTAATAATAATATATTATAATTATAAATTTATAATTTTTTATGATATTATAACTATAATATTGCTAATAAACAGTATTTTCTCATCTTACAATATATGTTCCTTTTTTTATTAAAATTCTCACTTATTGTTTTATGAATTGATATATTCACCTGTTTAATATTTTATAACTATTGGAAGAATTTTTTATAATAAATGTTAACCATGCATGCATAATGCTTACCAAGAAGCAATTTAAATTAAAAGCCGTCCAATTTTGCATGTTCGATTGCTCTCGGAATCAATCCGGGTATATATATAGGCATATGTTTGATTGCATAGAATACCAGTGGTCATCCTGCACTTCGGACACCTTTGTTGAAAATTTCAATATATACTAATAATATTATTTAATAATAGTTGCATAATTGATTATAATAAAAATAGTTATATAATAATGTCAAATTTTATGATAATAATTGTGTAGTTGTTCAAACTTATTGACCAATTATAAATGGATTCAATGCAACTTTATTGAA